CACTAAATCAGACATTCGAACTATACCACAGTATAGCGAAGCAAAGTGCAGCTAGTTCACCATGGCACTGAGCTCTAATGCACATTCTGAAAAGCTGCATCTTACGAACAAGAGGAGCCTATTCAACCTGTCTAGAATGTTAGTATGCTAGTAAGTAAACAATTCAGGAATCTATCCAGCCACTTCATGAAAGAGCTGGATAGTTTGTTCCTTGCTCATAAAATCTGAGATGACAAAAAGAGATGAGCTGGGAGGGAGAGGGATCTAGGGCTTCATAGACAGTTCTTCTCAGAGTCATATTGATCTGGCTAACATGCCTGTGGAATTCAGCAACCCATATGGTAGCTTGAGAAGATATAGCAAAGGATATGCTGTACCAATTGAGTTCACAGGATCAATGGTGTAGAAGGGAGTTCCTGATGAGCACGAACAGAATGGTCTGCTTTAGCAGGGCAGACTGGAGGTGTCAGACGGAAATGTGGCCTCAGTGTTTGAAAGAAGTAAAAGGGAGAGAATTTCCTAAGTGAGATGAACAATAACGAATTAGCAAGGTACCACAGAGTAAATCATAACACATACCTTTATGCTTAGTGGAAAAGGGTATTTTGTGAAAAAAACTTTAAAGAAAACCACAGAAAGAAAGCTGGGTGTTACAGTCTAAGTCAGAATAGACACTCCTTTGCCTGGTGTTGTAAAAGACATTCTGTGGGAAGAACTAATGTGTTAAAGATCAAAAAAGTGTTACAAATTAAAAAGCGAGAGTACTGTGTGTGCAAGAGAGATAACAGCTTGAGGAAAAGTGTTTTGAGAATACTGGAAAGAAAAAATATCCATTATTTTTTCCAGAAAGAGACTCTGGAATGGGGTGTTGTATTGTACTGTACTGTACAGTACAGAGGAACATTGATATGTAGGTTTAGGCAAAACAAACAAATCATAATCACAGTCAGAGAGAATCATAAGGCAAAAGGAAACCGTTATTTTATTTACAGTTTGTAGGTAACATACTCAAAACAAACAAAGCAAAACCAAAAGCCTGAGTTCAACTTTGGATTTCTGCTTAGATTTCAGCACAATCCACTGTACAGAACAGCTGAACAGCTAAGCTGCTTGCCAGGTCCAAACCAATGTTAATTTATTAAAGCTCACATGTCTACAATACGGTTCGCTTTCAACATGGTAAGAGACAGCAGAAAGAAACAGGTCCTGAAAAAAGTTCATGTTCAGTTAGTACAGTCTAGCCATAGAAACTCTGTGACACAGGCAGACCTGTATGCCCAGAGAGGACAAGCTGTGTTTTCAATTGCAGCAGGGAGATGCAGAGACAGAGATGATTTTCTGCTGCACTGTGAGAAATACAAACAATTCTAATCCCAGAATTCCCACACCTGCCAAAATCAAAACAGCTTCTGATTCTACTAGGGATAGCTCAGTAGAACTCAACAGAACAACTATAGCAGCCCAGTATTTGATCTCCTGTCACAGCTTGAGAAACACAGAGTGAACCTGTCTCACAATAATGTTTATGCGATGTACTGTATGTACTGTAAATGTCCAATAATATGTTTGTACTGTAAATGTCTGTAAATGTGTGTTAAATGTGTGTACATTTGTGTTTATTGTATCTGCTCTGGCATCACTGCAATTCATTGGTCATTCCAATAAATCTCTTTGAATTTGAATTTGATAGGCTGAGGTTTAGCATTCTCACACTAAGAAAAGGTGGGATGGTGAGTACCAGGATGGAAGACGTCCAAGAGCTCCAATTTGCTGTTGTCAACTGGAGAAACCATTTATTAATTCTCTACCTGATTGGTTGTGATGAGCGTCATACATATAAGATTTTGGGGATACATTTTGGGTGGAAGTCAGATATATACAATTCAAGGAATTATTAATTATTATGCATTGGTATAACCTCATCATTTTAATAACCTTTTTTTGCTAAATCGTTGATGTGTACTGTATTATATTAAGTTACACATCATAGTCTATATACTTTTTTCCCCTGGAGACATGTCAGTCTTTAAATTCTTCAAGTCTGTTTGTGGTACAAAACAAACAAACCATTTCATATGTTGGATTAGAATCCATTATATTTGGAGTGGAACAATGGAATTTATTAAAATGCAACATCTGAACATCATGAGAAGTTACAAAAATCCCGAACAAAAGCTTATTTACATCAGTGAAATTAACAAAGTGTTCAGTTTGGTGAAACTCTAAATATGCACACATACAAATGCTATTTTTTATACAAAAATATATATATTTTTATGGGTGTTAATGTAATATGCAATCATTTGAATAATTACCTCCTCTAGTATTTAAATCTTATATTGTTTTGTACTGACTAATGTTTTTTATAACCTTTAGTTTTTTCATGTTTGCTTATTGTCAAGTGCTATGTATTAGGGTATATATGATTTATCAAGCTCCTATTTTGTGTAATTTGTGTATTTTCAATGGTAAAAAGTTCAGTTTCTAACAAGTTACCAAACTATTTCAGAACCATAGCTCTGAATGTTTCTATAGCCTTTTTCCCCGGGCTCTAAAGAATGCTTCGAAAGTCTGACTAATTACCTCAGAGAAAATGCACTACCTTTTGGCAGTGGGAGAGGTGTCATTCCTCTGAGTATTTACAGTCTGAGGATTGAGGAAGGATACCTAATCAGTTCCTCTTCTTTGGAGCAAAACAATCTGATGCTGTAGGTTAGCTTGTATATTGACAATTTCCCTCAGAACTCCTCTATTTGTTTTACAATAGAGTCACAATGTGTGTGCAATAAGAGGTTGTTTGTAAAACAGTGTTCTATTTTCATCCAAAAGATTTGTTAACAAGCCCTTGTAAATAACTATTGGTTTGGGAGGATAAGCATTAACTTGAATTTTTCAATCTTATTGTTAAGCTGCACTGCTTCCCAGAAAAGTAAGAAGCTGCAGGACGTGACTTAACACATATGTGCTTTTTTGTGTTAGTAGCATATACTGTACCCAACCAATGATGATCAGTCATCTATACTCGAATGGTTTTGCTCATTCTTAATCCCTTAAAATGTCAAATAATTCCATTTACATTTCCTCTAATTGTAAATACCACTCTCACAAGAATCTTGTGAAACTTAAATGTCTTAATCATGGTTTCTCCAGCCTAACAACATGCCTGTCAGGGCACTTCAAAAGGTTCTGTACAACTCAGCAAACCCTGGCCAAATTCTGAACCTCTGGGCAGTTTATTCGTTCACCTTGTCAAAAGAAGGATGATACGGAATATTCATATTATAGTCCTACAGTATAATGTTATCTAGAGCATAAGAATATAAAAGAAGTTACAAACTCAACCATGACGTCTGTCTTTGTATAGTGTAGTATGTACTGTAGCTTGCAGTTTATTGATCTGACAATCTCACCTAGACTTTTTGTCCTTTGAAAGATCCAAGTGGATCAATGTCGAAAATAAGGTTGGGCAGCTTGTTACAGACACCAGCCATGATATAAGAGTATGTCCTATTTTAATTTCTAAATACCCTTAATTTGGGCCTTTCTTGATTTTCTCTTCATTTGTGAGTTGAAGTAGTGGGAAAGGTCGAATACCCAGAACAAGGTATAATATGATATTCTGCCATGATATGTTTTTTTTAAACATAGCTGAACTGCCATACAATAGCAGATTTTGAGCTGTTCAACTACTGCTTACAAAAGCCTTATGCTTATCATCTATGTTAGATGTTTGTCCAAATTCACTGCTAAAACCTGTTGCTGCAGATAAATTTGAAAGAAGGACTCAGTATTAGATTGATTGAAATTACTGACAATAAGCAGGGCTAAAAGGAAAGCACAGGACTTGTTTTTTACAGACAATGTGTTTTGCTTGACAAGCTATTTGCTAATGGGTTTTTTACCAGTTTGATTACACATGAAAATTAAGCAAGTAAATACAAAATAGCAGGTTGTTCTCAACCTTACATAGTACATTAAAGCTATTAACCCTGAATCTGTGGTCTTGCTATAAATTCTACAGCTTATATTTCTCTGAATCTTGCATCTGGGTTTTCAGGAATCCTCTTCTAGCAGGTGGTGAATTACAGATGTCATAGGTGTAGTGTTTATGGACATTGAAACATCTAACTTTCAAGTTGAGAGTAAAATTATTCCAATGTATCTAGCAAACCAATGCATTGACTCATGACTATTTTCTATTATTTAAATGACTGCAGTCCACTGGTTTAAACTTATTGTTGCCATCTCTTCTGTGGCAAGTTCATACCAGATTTCTGCTACACCATGTCTCAACCACTGAGTCAAAGACCAAGCAAAGATGAATGTACTTAGTTTGCTAAATGAAGAATGTAATATACATCATGTCAGGAGGTCAATGTCCTGTTGGGTATACAGTATGTCGGACAGGTTAAGAATGAACATTCTGCTAGTTAGCTGTAAATTTAAAAAAGAGTTTTGCTTATTTTTAGGATATGAAAATATCCTAATAGGCTAGATGTCTTAAAAAGGCCAGGTCCATTCTCAAAGACCCCAATCATCCCAGTCACAAACTGTTTTCTCTCCTACCATCTGGTAAACGGTATCAAAGCATTCGGTCAAAGTCCAACAGATTACGGAACAGCTTCTACGTCCAGGCAATAAGACTGCTAAACAGCCAACCTGCAGCTCCTGTTATGGGTACATGGACATACAGTTTTCATTGTATTCAGCATACTGCACTACTTGGACATAATGTATTGCATACACCATGGACACATAGCAGCTCTATTCATATTGAGTTGTATTTGATTTCTATTACATTAATATCTATTATCACGTAACCTTATTTTCGTAACTTTAATTTTGTGATTTTTGTGAGCTCGCAGAAGAGACATTTCATTGCCAGCCACTACTGCTGCACGCTGTATTTGATAAATAAACTTTGATTTGATTTGATGAGATGAACAGTGGAAGAGTGTACAAGGCCTACTCTCATAACTTTGTCTGCATGTGTGTCTCAGTGCCTTTCAGGGAAACCCCCACTTACACCAACCGGCGGCGAGTCACAGGAAGCGGCACCCTCTCATCCCCGCGCACCTTACTGCGCTCCGCCAGCGACAACAACATCAATGTGGAGGGCCGGCCCTCGCACTCGCCCGTCCCCTCGCTCAGGAGCTTACCCCCTCAGCTGGCCGGGCAGCAGGCCCCCGAGGTGGCCGACAGCAGCCTGCAGAGCACCGCCAGCTCCCGCAGCTCCCACTCGCGCTCGCCCTCCCTGCAATGTGTCCAGGAGGAGAAGGAGACAGAGAACCTCACCCTCAGGAGACACAGCCGGGGACGTCTCAGGTAAAGGCCTCCTTCTAATGTCTGTCCTGGGCTGCTCACACAGCCTCCCTGTCTGTTGCGCTTTTTCAAAGAAATGATACCTCCTTGTGGAAACTTTGACTGGTCAATTATACAGTAGGTCGTGGTTTTCTGGAGCCAGATGTCTCAGCAGACACCTTAGATATCACCTTTGGATAAATTGACGTTTACAAAGTTATTTTTTTTAATAACTCTGCTGTGCCAAGGCACAATAGGACCATCTTTTCCTTATTGTTGAAAATGAGGGGATTTAAAAAATGACACAGATATGAAGAACAAAAACGTGGACGGAGAACTTGTTTCTTACAGCCCCTTTTCCTGACAGAGAAATGACTGGGGAAATGGTTTTAATAAAAAGTTGTAATGCACTGTATATGGTGACCAATCTTACATACAGTACAGTAAAATTTCCCATTAGATATTATAATACAGGAAATGGTCAATAAATCAAATAAGTTAATATGGAATTTCTTTGTGACTTGAAAATGAGTTATTAGCTATATAATTTGTGAATTAAAAATGCTGCTGTGAAGTACCAAAGTGCTTTTTTATTCTTGTGCCGCTTGAAGGTGGAATAGCTTCAATGCAAAGCTTAAAAAAAGACATGTTCTACCAAATTGTCAAGCCATTTGTTCAGTTTGGGGTTATCTGTGTGTTGGTAGCATCACTCAGGGAGATGTGTGAAGGAAACATTCTGTTAATCCGACAAACAACATGTCCCTGAAGCAGAAGATCGTGTAGGCCAGATGGGCACTACTAATAATGATCACCGTGGAAACCTTGAGAACATGCTGGCAGAAACACCTAGGAGCGATGTGCTGCAATCCAGAAAGTAGCTTTCAGTAATTGGCAATAGAGAGGCGATAGTATTACAATAATGTCTTGCACATCAAAATTCTTTACATTATTTCACATATTTTATGTTATTACAAATTAATCTTTTAATAGGTTGTGACTAAGAACATAATTGCGTTATTTTTTTTTTAAATTTCACTGCCTGATGGTGTAAGATTCCTATTATAACCTCCGTTGGTTTATAAAGATATAAATGTTAATGGAATCGTGTCATTCCATTGGCCCAGTGGCATAATAAACTCTTTTCCAAGTGGGAACCTAGACAGATACAGGAGTGACAGCATTAAATAAGAAAGCCAATGCTGGCCAAACAAAGGAGTAGTAGTACAATTTAAGCTGTTGTATAGGCCTGCTAAAAATAGGCAGAATGGTTCACACTAGGCCCCTTGCATGTAAAACAGAGAAATGTGTACTGTATGTGGCAGCTTCCCTTTCCAGATGAATTCAAAACTTCTAGTATGTAATCTATTGCAGGACGTATTATGGAGGGTTGTTTTTAGCACACATTTTAGATCATTTGCAGCATTTACTCACTTAGAGATGTTATTGAAATTGTTTAATGTGATGGCGTGCACAGACACATCTCAATTCAAAGGTGTCTGCAACATTTGAACAGCTACACTGTCTATTGAAAAATTTTCCAGCATGGATGCAGTCATGGACCAATTAAGTTTAAGCCTGACACAAGCACTAATTCAAAAATAATCCAAATATTTTGCAGAAGAAAAGGGACTTTAGAGACATTATCTGCATATACGTACATTTCATAGAGTGACATGCAATGTTAGGTATTGGCATAGGGGTAGATATTAATAGTAGAATGAGGAAGCGGTTGCCCTAATTTTGCAAAACTAAGTTTAAGAAAAAATGACTAAAATCTGTAACCAGTTAAACCTTGTTGCTTCTCTTCTTCTGTTGTTGGTCACTCTTGTTGGTATTATTTGTTCATTTTGGAATGAACATATCTATACAGTAACTAAGCTACATATTCAGGGATTATGTTGCCAAGATAAATTTGTTTCCCTGAAAAGGCACAATTGATTGTACTGTATCTTGTGACTGGACTGCTTCCTTTGTATGCAAGTCACTGTTAAGACTTGTTGATGCAGTGCTTAGAATTATGTTCTTATTATGAAGTCATGCAGAAAGATTTGTCATTTGACTTACATTTGATATTTGTTATGCATCTTGGTTACATGTACTTTATTCTGTATTCCCCATGTTCTCTCGATGAAAAAAAATATTGTTAACAATTAGATATCTTAGACCATATTAGAATTCTGCTAAACTTATTTTTTTTTGTAATATGGCTCAGGTTTAGTACAAAATTAGTTCATTCATAATAAGTAAATATTAACATTGTTTGTTTTCAGCTTTGGAAAAATTACTCATAGTTCAGAATTCCTGAATAGAAACATACTTCCACTCTAATGCTTAATCTAAGTTTTACAAAGTAAATTAATGAGGTTGAGAGTACTGTATAAAGCAAAACATATAAGTAAGTACATTCATTCTACTTCTTGATTATCCTAAGAATGATTACTGAATACTAACATTAGATAAATTGAGCACAAATTAATATAGTGTTTTATTAATACTGTATATGAGCATTAGATTAATGTCCTTTTGTGAAAGAAAGATTTAGTTTCGGCCTGTTGACTTTAATTCACTATCATTCAATAAAAATTTAAATGAATTTCCAGTATTTAATATAATTTGAATGAGAGAATGTATGAGGCATTATTAAATCAAATTCGATATGCCATTCGGGAACTACCGAAAGTCCCAGGGGCTCAGTTGTAGTACAGTATACTTCAATGTGGCACAAAGCAGTTCCAGAATATTGTAAAGCCTGCAGGTACAGGTAGAAGTCCAAGGGTGGAAAGTATTGAGAAAAGAGAATTCTGTATGAAGAATGTGCAATCTTTGGTTGGTGGCAGCAATATACAGTATTTGGTTCACCGTTAAGCAATCACACAAGACAATACAAAAATAAGACTGGCACTAGTTTAAAGAAGTGTAGAAAAGTATTGGCATGGTACAAAATGTTTATTCTTTGTAACAGTCAAAGAAATAGGAGAGTGAGTTACCCAGACCCAAACATGCCACTAAGTGTATCTGTACAATGGAAAATATACAAACTCAACACAGATAGCACCCTAAATCAAGAATCCAGGGCCCCAACTCTGCTAGGTAACAATGCTAAACATTGAATTATTATCATTTATTCTATACTCTGAAATAGAAGTGGATTAATACTTGTGTTTATATCAATGAAGCTTGCCTTTGATTAAGATTAACAACGAGTTCTACTTGGGTTTTTTTTTTTCAGGTTCATGTACAGGAGAACCTCTGTAATGTTGACGTCACATTTCATATAATGGTTGCATTAGGTATTGACACTATGGCTCAATAAACAGTTAAGAAATACTACAAAGAGTGAAGGGACCAGATTATTTGAAAATAGTGATACTTTATTTTTCTAGACAAGAATTTCATAGACTTACTCTATCCTGGTCTGATATCGTTCCTGTTCAGTTTTAGTTTTGTCCCCCCAGTGCTAAAAACAATTATACAAAATCAAATCTATCGACCTGCTAAACAGCCAACCTCACAGTAAGTTTTGGTCCATGAAATTTTAAGATTGCCATTTTGTTGGCAAGTGAGTGAATCTACAGTTCACTTCTACAGTCCAGGTGCCATGAGTGCAAGCAGGCTGTCTACAATCAGTACAAACACTATCATACACATTCTATCTGTTGAACTAAACATGAACATCCTCAGTGAATAATAAAAATACATTTACTGTAAATAATAATGTTACAATTTCACCTTACTAAAATCATATAAGATCTACATTATTTGGAAAAGTGTGGCTTTTTATTAGCCTGTATGTAGATGTATATCTATCTATAAAAAAAAATCAATTTCCCTGTGGGATTAATAAAGTATTATCTATTTCTCCTTCTCCTTCTTAGAATTTTCTTGTTTAGTTTTCTTCTCGTTTTGCTTATGCACTATCCCTGAATGACTTCGTGTCAGAGTTTTTCTTCACCCATTTTACTTTGGAACATATTGTGGTGATGTGTCCTTTTCTCTTTCACAACCTGCACGCGCACTGAAGAAATGTTCTTTTCACTTCACATTTGTGTTCAAGTTTGAACTTGTCATCTGTTCCAGCATCCATACTCCTGACAGCATTCAAAGCTATTAAAACCACCTTCATATGACCTGTCACCATGTCAATGCTTTTAAAATGTTTAGCTCCCAAAGGACTTATATAATAATGATGGGATACACAGGGAATATTTGGAAGATCAGTCTTCTCTGTCAATGTTCCTCATATTTTTGTATCTACAGAGAAACACTAAATGCTTTGCAATGTAGAGGTATTTGTCATTGTCACAAGGCAGATTCAAGAGGCTCGTTGTTTAAGGACTGGCTTTTTACAACTAGGCACTGCAGTATAACAAGAAAACAGTAATGTATACTATACTATGCACCTTTATTTATTGCTCTAAACACAGGTTTTGTTTCCCACATGTTGATATTTATTTACTACGTTAAAATGATTCAGATTTTTCATTAATTAATGTAGCCAACTAAAATAATAATATATTAATAATATATATAATATATTTTTAAACAGAACAATTAAAAAAAACAATGGTTTTAGAAGAGTTGACATCTGGTGTATCTGGTGTATACTTCCAATACATTTAATAAATGCTCACCAGTGAAGCATTGCGGTGCTTCTGTGGTGGTGTCATATTGAAATGTAGGTGCAAAATTAAATAAAATCAATTTAATCACTAAATGAACTTTGAACCAAAATAACCACTACACTGCCAATGTTCAGTAGGTTTTAGCACTTCTGTTATGGGTTCGGTAATAGGGACCGAACCAGTGAGTGAACCCACTTGCAGGAGCGAACAAAGCCAAGTCGTAATCCGAAAGCAAACCGTAGTCGTAGGAACGAGCCGAGAGTCCAGGGGAAGCAAGATATCCGAAAGGGAACGAGTACCGAAGCCGAAGCATGATCCGAAGTCGTAGTCCGTAGAGCAATCCGAGAATCCAGAGGTAGCCAGTGATCCAAAATAGAGCGAAAGTACCAATCCAAGCCGAGA